TAGTTAGGGTTGGAAAGGACCTTAAGATCATCAAGTTCCCACCCCCTGCCATGGGCAGGGACACCTCGCTCTAAACCATATTACCCAAGGCCTCGTCCAACCTGGCCTTGAACACTGCCAGGGATGAAGCATTCACAACCTCCCTGGGCAACCTATTCCAGTGCCTCACCACCCTAACAGGAAAGAATTTCCTCCTTATATCCAATCTAAACATCCCCTGTTCAAGTTTTAACCCATTACCCCTTGTCCTACCACTACAGTCCCTAATGAAGAGTCCACCCCCAGCATCCCTATAGGCCCCCTTCAGATACTGGAAGGCTGCTATGAGGTCTCCACGCAGCCTTCTCTTCTCCAGGCTGAACAGCCCCAACTTTCTCAGCCTGTCTTCATACGGGAGGTGCTCCAGTCCCCTGATCATCCTCGTGGCCCTCCTCTGGACTTGTTCCAACAGTTCCATGTCCTTTTTATGTTGAGGACACCAGAACTGCACACAATACTCCAAGTGAGGTCTCATGAGAGCAGAATAAAGGGGCAGGATCACCTCCTTCGACCTGCTGGTCACGCTCCTTTTGATGCAGCCCAGGATACGGTTGGCTTTCTGGGCTGCAAGCGCACACTGAAGCCGGCTCATGTTCATTTTCTCATCAACCAGCACCCCCAAGTCCTTCTCCTCAGGGCTGCTCTGAATCTCTTCTCTGCCCAACCTGCAGCTGTGCCTGGGATTGCTCCGACCCAGGTGTAGGACCTTGCACTTGGCATGGTTAAACTTCATGAGGTTGGCATCAGCCCACCTCACAAGCGTGTCAAGGTCCCTCTGGATGGCATTCCTCCCCTCCAGCGTATCAACTGAACCACACAGCTTGGTGTCATCAGCAAACTTGCTGAGGGCGCACTCAATCCCACTGTCCATGTCAGCGACAAAGATGTTGAACAAGACCGGTCCCAACACTGATCCCTGAGGGACACCACTCGTTACTGGTCTCCAGGTAGACATTGAGCCATTGACCACAACTCTTTGTGTGCGGCCATCCAGCCAGTTCTTTATCCACCGAGTGGTCCATTCATGAAATTGTTGTCTCTCCAATTTAGAGACAAGGATGTCGTGTGGGACAGTGTCGAACGCTTTACACAAATCCAGGTAGATGACATCAACTGCTCTACCGCTGTCCATCAGTTCTGTAGCCCCATCATAGAAGGCCATCAAATTGGTCAGGCAGGATTTCCCCTTAGTGAAGCCATGCTGGCTGTCACCAAGCACCTTGTTGTTTTTCATGTGCCTTAGCATGCCTTCCAGGAGAATCTGCTCCAAGATTTTGCCAGGCACAGAGGTGAGACTGACTGGTCTGTAATTGCCTGGGTCATCCATTTTCCCCTTCTTGAAAATGGGGGTTATATTTCCCTTTTTCCAGTTGCCGGGAACTTCACCTGACTGCCATGATTTTTCAAATATGATGGCCAGCGTCTTAGCAACTTCATTCGCCAGCTCAGAGAAGTTGTGATGCTTCAGTTCTTATTCTTGTGTGGCTCTGTGATTGTAGACAGGGAAGCAAGATGTAGACAGAGCCTGTCAGATGCATATAGTCAAGAAAGCTGTTCTAGATCATGGGAAATGATCAACTTGCCAGTGAAAAGATGAAATGGAAGAGGAATTTTGTAAGGAAAAAACCCCAAAGTATACTTTGGAAAAAAAAACCTATGCAAGATAGAGAATACTGAGCAACTGTTTTCAAGACAAACTTGAAAACTGAGGCTCAGCTCTGGCTCACAGGACACAGTTCCACTGAAGTGGCCCTACATGCATTTGATACCATTCCCCACTTCAGCTAAATGTTCAAAACCACACAGCTGTCTACATGTGACATACTATATGCTAAGGCAGGGCATAGGAAGAACTCTAAGACAAGGGAAAACATGCTGAATATATGGCAGGAAGTAGACTCCACAAAATGGATATATGATTGGTTTGATTTAGAAAAGTGAAAAGGGGGGAATGGCAATACTGGAGAGTGAAAAAATAGCTTAAATAGAATTTTATCTAAGAATGATAGTCAGTGTGTACATGATAGTTTAATGTACTCCCCCACCCATTTACTCTTCTTTGTTTTTAAGGAAAATATGAAGTTTTCCTTAAAGTGAGAGTAAAATGGCTGCTTATACAAGTATCTCATTATTCTGTAACCCTGATGCCTCTTGATAGTGACTTCCTCTAAGAAAGGATTTTTTCTGATTCTGTCCTCAAACTATCATTTATCACTACAAAGGTTGTGGTAGCAATCGAATTCTGATTTCAATTTTACTACCTTGAATCAAGGATAATTACATCACATTCATGTTCTTCTGGAATTGAGAAGAACAGAGTGTAAGTGCTTAAAGGCAAGATTTCTCCAGTGCTGAGCTAAAAGTGAAGTACTTCCAACATCCACAGATTTCTCACAGGCTTTGACTACACCTCAAAAGTGTCTGCTTGATGGTGAATGACAGGAAGATGTAATTCCACCCATTACAGTGTATCATTTCAATCCATCTTAAAGAATAATTCTGTCTTCCCCCGTCTTCATAATTACAGTTTAATTCCTCTTTGACAGTAATAATGAGTGGAGAGAACAGCAGCCTAGGACAAATACCTAGGTTCTTCTGGACCTGTCACAGTGTTATGATATGAACTAACAACAAATGCTCCAGTTCTCCCATCCCTATATATGGAATACTTTTATGATTTAATTTGGGCCCTCTTTATTAAAAATGTTGTATAGAAGTGAGTATTATAGTGACACAGCTCCAAGTAAGATTGGAATGCAGAATAGAAGTTAAACTTCGCAGGTTTCAGGAAATTGGATTTTTGAATTTTTAAGGCAAGTTATCTCTATAATGCATATCTGGAGTCATTGGGAGGTATTCACACAAAGACGTGATGTGTCTTGAGGACAATGCTGTTGGTATGTAATTGCATCACTATAGAGGGGCAGAGCATTTTAGGAGATGCAAAATGAAGGAGTAGTTGTTTGGTTTTGAGGTGAATGGCTAAATGGCGTTCAGTGTATTTGCTTAGGTAACTTGGCAATTATCTTTGATGAGCATTTGTATGTAACAGCAACATACATTTGAAAGAGGTGTCATGTGCCTTCTTTAATGCATATGAGTGTGTCTGATCTGTCATTGCCTATTAACAAAAATATGGCAGAAATACCACCAGTCCCATCAGGCTGCTCACTCTGGAGCCTTTGAAGTACAGTAAGTAGGAGCAGATTAAATGTTAAAACAGTCATCACTCCAGAGCTTGCCTACACCTCGGGTTCTTGAAAGAGTATCTTGTTTATCGAGGCAGCTCGTCTCTCTCCTTACATCGCTGTTATGAGTGCTGGCAGTTTCCAACTGGGAGTTGCAGTAAGGTGACATCTGTTCTTTATGTTCGCATTAAAGTAACATCTAACGAACCCACAAATGGCACAAAAAAATACTGCACAAGGTAAATACAAACAGGAGGGTGAACTGCCAATGTGGAACAGTAAAAAGCCGTATTGTTCCAGGTTTTTCTTATAACTTTTTTAGTATTTAAAAAGTGACTGCATACACTTGGTGATTGATGATAGAAATTTCCATATTATATTCTTGTTTTTCTTTGCAAACACAAACCCACCAGAAAAGGGGACTTATATTTTGGAACTAAGTCTGAAATACTAATTCTTACAATTATAGTATATCAATTTGAACTGTAATTGCAGCAGATAGTGAGAATCGAATGAGACAACTTTTGACTTAGGTAAGCAGAACATTCCCACAAATACTGCACCAGGGGTTGAGATTTCAAAAGAAGGAAGGATTTACTATGAGAAAAAGGAACTTTGGAGAAGATACCGTGTATGGGAAAGCAGAAGAGGAAGTGCTCTTTTGTATTACAATGTCATCTGCAAATTAGATTGCAATTCAGTGCAATCTGCACTGAATGGCACTGTTTTGTAAAGTTGGGGCTGCTCAGCCTGGAGAAGAGAAGGCTGCGTGGAGACCTCATAGCAGCCTTCCAGTATCTGAAGGGGGCCTATAGGGATGCTGGGGAGGGACTCTTCGTTAGGGACTGTAGTGATAGGACAAGGGGTAATGGGTTAAAACTTAAACAGAGGAAGTTTAAATTGGAGGAAATTCTTTCCTGTTAGGGTGGTGAGGCACTGGAATAGGTTGCCCAGGGAGGTTGTGAATGCTGCATCCCTGGCAGTGTTCAAGGCCAGGTTGGGCAGAGCTTTGGGTGACATAGTTTAGTGTGAGGTATCTGTGCCCATGGAAGAGGGCTTGGAACTTGATGATCTTAAGGTCCTTTCCAACCCTAACTATTCTATGATTCTATATATAACAAATCAAATTCATGCTAAAGAGAAGCAGATTACAAGGATGATTGAACATTGTCTCCCAGGCTGGAACCATGCACGTATTTCTCTTTTGCTGTTGCAACTTTGTGCCAGAGACACTCGTTGTGATTTTTAACGATATGGTTTCTTCTTTTTTTTTTTTTTTTTTTTTTTTGGTACACTTTCACAGGACAATCTGCATTGATCCTGTATGGGAAGCACACACCACCTGCAACACGCATCTAAGCCGATGTATTTTAGCACAGGTATCTGAAGGACTTCTGTGAAACGGTTCAAAACTCCGTACCAGCGATGTGAAGCGTACACGGACGTGAAGCGAACGCCACCCGAACACGAACTCTCGGAGCGGCACCACGCTTCAGAATCACTCTCCTGAAGGACACGGCATCCCGCACCCGTGCACGCCGTGAGCTCCACAGCCGCCGGGGGCCGCCTGCTCAGCACAGGGACTTTCTGCCACCTTCCCAGCCGCCGACCCACGTTCCAGCAGCACGATGGCGACACCTCCCGCCCCGTCCCGACCGGTGCAGGTGCCAGCTTACTGCCACCATGACGCTCCACACCCCGGGAACTAAGCCCCGCCCCTCCGTGAGCACAGCGCCCGGACCCGCCAGGACACCGTACACCAGCAATAAAATGCCCCGCGCATGCGTTGTCCCTCTCACGCTAGAGCAGTGCGTACGGTGAAGAGCGTGCGGCAATGGCGGAGCCGGGCAAGGCCACCATGAAGGAGCAGCGATACGACCGGCAGCTGAGGTAGTAGCATGGGCCGCGAGCTGCTGGGGATTGCCCTGGCTTTGCGGGGCTGCCGCAGTTGCGGCCGGGCGGCCAGCGGGCTGCTGTGGTAGGGGGTCTGCGTCTTGCCGCAGGCCGGGCCGCTACTGCCGGCTCTGGGTGCTGATTCTAGCACGGGCCTCCCCTGGGCCCGGTTGCGGGGAGAGGAGCCGCGCCGCTCTGTGCGGGCAGGGCCGCTTGGCGCCGCCCGCCGAGTCTCCGCGACGGCGGCTATGTCCCAGCCGGGTCGGGCGCTCTCGGGTTCGCCGAGCGGCTCTGTGAATGTCTGTGCTGGCAGGGGGAGAAAGGCAGAAAAGAGGTTAAATGGGAGAAGGGCTGCAGGGGAGAGCCCGGTGTGCCGCGTATGGCATGGGTTAATTCTCATAGGCTTGTATACGTCTGAAAATCTTAGTAGTGGTCATGATTTTCTGCATATTCAGTAATGTGCTTTTTTGCAGCTGAAGAGACTAAAGTTACTGCCCGTGTGAAATTAGTGGGATGTTTGTGGCAGAGTACTGTCAAGTCCGGATTTCAGCCTGAATACTGTTTTATAGGTGTCTTCAACACGTTGCTAAACTCATCGAGACTGATTTCCATTTGTTTGTGCTGTTTAGTGTTTCATAATATATACAAAACCAAAAATTGTTTGCAGTGAAACTTACAAAAAAGAAAGCATTCAGTTTCCATGCCAGAATTTGTTAAGGAATGTTTTGATCCATACTGGTTTTGAAGAAGTTAAAACAAAAAAAAGGTGTGAACGTTCACAGGGTGTAACAGTGGGAAAATGAAATGACAGAAATATTGGGTTGCTCTTTAGAAAGCTTCAGGTTTGTCACAGTGAGTTTTCTTAAGGAAAGCTTATTCTAGTTACTGCTGTTTAGCTTTTCTCATCAGTGAATGGAAAGTAGTATGCTAGCCTCCATTGGTGGCTGTTGACTTTTATTTCTTTATGTTGGCTTTAGAATCTGAAATGAAATAATTTCATACAGTTTTGGTTTCCATCCCAATATAGGCTGTGGGGTGACCATGGACAAGAAGCATTAGAATCTGCCCATGTTTGTGTGATAAATGCAACAGCAACAGGAACTGAAATACTCAAAAACTTGGTGCTACCAGGTAACTAGACAGCTCATCTGTAACTTCTTTCCAGTGCTTCTAGTAGCTTCATCATACCTAAATATTAATGGTAGTTATTTTTTTTCCCCCCAAGGTATTGGCTCTTTCACAATTGTCGATGGGAATCGGGTCTCGGGAGAAGATGTTGGAAATAAGTAGGTTTGTTACTGATTTCTATTACAAATAGAGAAGTAACAGGGTTCATAAGTAATTGCATCTCTATATTTGTTAATCCTGTAAAATGATTTTAAAAGCCTCTGTATTTCTCCAAGTCTTTTGTGGGTTTGGATGTTGGTAACATACAAAGCATGCACAATCACTTTGGTATTATTAGCTTCTGAATCTGACATACGTTTTTAGTTGCTGGTTTGTACTTTACAGGCCTATTTGCTTCACTTAATATAAAAATATTTTTTGAAAATATGCTTGCTGCAGTCTTGAGATGTGACAGTGCAAGATTTGCTTGTTTCAGCATAGCTAAATGTATTTTATTTTGGTGATGAAGATAACTTACTCTTCTTTAGTTTACCATTGTGAAACTGACTGAAAGCCATTTATTGGCTTTCACAGCTTTGAGAGAGTGTGTGCAGCAAGGGAAAGGATGACAAGCTCTTTAGACATCCTATAAAAATAAATTTGTTTACTAAGTCTAGATCACTTTCTCTTATGGCTCAGGTAGATACCTACAAAAGTATCTGCGCTTACAAGGGTTGTATGAGGGGGCAAGAATATTCCATCACATGATGAAATTAGTGCTTACAAGTCTGCAGTATGATTCTGGCTTTCAGAGGAGTTTGGCAGGTCTTATTTGCCCCATTTGTGGCTTGGGTATCAAAAAGTTTTCTTAAGAAGCTTTTCTTAGGAAAATATAACAGTGGTGGGGAGCAGAAAAAAAGATTTAAGGAACAGCTTGGTTTGTTGTGTATGGGTCAACAACATGTTCTGCACTACAAAATGTAGCTTTAATGTTGTTCTGCAGAGTAAAAATTCACATATAACTCTTTTTTCCTTTTCAGTTTCTTTCTACAGAAAAAACATATTGGTAAGGTAAGGAGATAATAAATGTCACTTCAGGTGTATTGAAAGCATGGAAGTATTAAGTAAATACTCAAATGTAGTATTATGAGTAATGCTTAAAAACATGTATGTGTAGGTTAAAGTCTAGTTGTTTTTTGACAAAATTCCGCATGCTTACTTTTTAGTTGCTTATAAGTGAAAAGATAAATTTCATTCTGGCTAGACTGAATGGAAAAAATTAACTGGCTATGGTTAAGAAAATCTTTGTAAGGATAAGGTGGAAGAGCATTGTGGTTTAAAGAGACATAAATGGGGGGGGGGGAATCACAGAAACTGCAGAGTACAAGAAACAGATTTTGGAGCTTTTTTTATTTGTTTTGGTTTTTTTTTAGCATGTAATATACGTATTACTGATGTACTGGATAAATCACATTTGAAGAGGCTAAACATTGTTTTTTGTTCTTGTGAAACAGAATCGTGGCCAGAGTGCCACTGAGCTCTTGCAAGAATTGAATAATGATGTTTCGGGAAACTATGTCGAAGAGGTTTGTTTTCCTAAATTAGTTGTATGTATCATTGTTACACAATGTGATAAAAGTATGAAATAATAGCTGTATGTTGTCTTTGTAACATTGCAATTTAAGTAGCTTCATGATAAAACAGCATTTGAGGAAGAACATCGTAATTTATTTGCAAAAAAGTCAATATATTTATTTTAAACGTTCTTTTGTAACTTCATCATCATTTTGTAACTTTAACATAACACTTCTGTTCACTGTTGAACAGTCTTGCTGTGTATTCAGAAATTCTCACAGTGTTTCCTGGCATACTTTTTCTCTATTTTTTAGAGTCCAGAAGTACTTTTAGACAATAACCCTTCCTTTTTCAATCGTTTTAACTTGGTGGTTGCAACGCAACTCTCAGAAAGGTATGTTTGTTTTCCTTCAGTTGTAAAAGCAGGTTTTAACTGTAGGCATTTTGTTGCAGGAAAACTGATGCAAAACAGAACTGTGCCATTGTGAAGGAATGTTGCAATAAATGATGGCATTTTCCCATGGACTTTTTTCTAGGTTAATATATAGTTTAAAATCCCCTTCAGATCCTGTCTACTAGATGCTGTCTCCAGGTGTATTTTTCTATGTCAAGTACTCCTCTCAAGTGAAAGATATTTCTGTTTTGAAATTACTATAACAAGTAGTATTCATATGTAAAAGCTAATAGATCGTATTTTCTGTGATACCTTTAGATTTTTGCAAATGCATTTTATCATTTGTATAACCCTTTCCAGTTTACCCAAGAATGTAATTATATGTCCTGTATGAACTCTGTCAATTCCAGAAGTTCTTAACTTTTTGTGGTTTTTTTATTTGACTGGCTAACCGTGCTGAGAGGCCTTTTGCATGCTGCTTTCTGGTAGAAAGTGCAAATAGAAAATGACAGCTCTCGGGGGAGAAGAGCATGTATTTGTTTCAGTAGTCCAACTGCCTCCACACAGGCAAGAGGTGCTGGATAAATCAATAGTTAGAACTTGCTCTGTAAGGAAGTGGCTGTTGTTCATACTTTATAAATTTTCTCCTTCCACGTACTTACAGAAGAGTTAAAAAGTACTCTGTATTATAGAAATAAGAGCCAACTTGCCTTTCTGAAGAGGTGATTCCCTAGTGAATAGCATATTTCTTATGTGCTTTTCAGAAGCCTCTGATAAGAGCTGCCTCTGCTGGAACTTACCTTTGGGCAGCACACAGATCTAATTTTTCTCTTCCTTTCACAATTCGTTTAAGGTTTTAGTTAGATATATGAAGCATTTGGGGGATGCAGTGAAATATAAGTAAGCTAATGGATAAACATATCCCTAACCTAGTAAATTTACAAATAAAATTACCTTATATGTGTTTAGAATCATAGTATTAGAGTTCTCTGAGGAGACCTTTCTTAAGTAACCTGTGTAAGAGTTGATTTTATAGGTAATTATTGTCCTGAAAGAAACCCAAATCAAAAAATGTTTTTCTTTACAGTACGTTGCTGCGCTTGGCTGAACTTCTCTGGAATTCTAACATTCCTCTGCTGGTCTGCAGGACTTACGGGCTGGTTGGTTACATGAGAGTCATTATTAAAGAACATACAGGTTAGAGGATCTTCTGGGATAAACTTTTCTAAAAGGTTTAAAGCTTCAATGTGTAATGTCCCTTTGATTGTTTTTTATCTTTTTTTTTTTTTTTTTGGTCTGGTGATGTATTTAGTATTTGTTAAGTTTTATGTAGTTTGCAGTTCATCACCGGGACCATTCTTTGAGAAATGTATAGAAATTACGGACTGCAACAAATAGTAAAATTAGAGCTTATCCTGACATTAAATGTAACTTACACAAAACACTCATATTGAGAATCAAGCAGTTGAACGAGCAGGTAATGCACTGTATTTGATGTATAGCTCTGTTCTGAAGCCGGACATAAAACTGAACAGTGTAGTGTAATTCTTTTTTTTTCACAGTTGTGGAATCTCATCCTGACAATAAGTTAGAAGATCTGAGACTGGACAAACAATTTCCCGAGCTGAGGGAACACATTCAGTCTTATGACTTGGATCGTATGGACAGAAAGGTTGGTATGTGGTTTGCACTATGTTTTTGAAGACAGATGAAGATAGAACAGGGATTCTGTGAAAATGACTCTTGGCAGATGACTTTTTTTGGTGCCTGAACACAGGCAACTGTAGAATCACTTATGAAGTACTATTTTTGGCCTGTGCCTGAAATGTTACAGTCTGCATTTAAATCTTGAGCAAATGGGGGTCTTGGGAAGTAAGGAACGTTCTTGAACAACTTGATTTTTTGTTAAGATTGATTCCCCTTAAGTCCCCTGTCTGTTTTGTTTGTTTCGGTGGTTTGTTTTTTTTTTCTTTTAATTTTTATGATTACCTGCTGCTGCAGAACTTTGCAGTGTAGGTATTTGTGCATAGCAGAAGTTCCACTCCAAAGAAAAATACGGGGGAGCTTGGCTCAGACACCCTTATTTGAAGTAAAGAAATAGTAATTTGATAATTTGTTTTATAGTAGAGAACATTATTTCTGAACTGAATCTGGAACATGTCCTGTGTCTTTAGAGTAGTGGAAGGGACGTTGTTTGCATTTCAAAGAGGTTTTTAATTTGTTTCTTGTTTTTTATATTTTCTCTTGACAAAGATTTCTCTGCTGTTCAATTACAGGACCATAGCCACACTCCATGGATTGTGATTGTAGCCAAGTATCTAACAAAATGGCTCAATGAGGTATATTGCAAAATTGGATAAGTCATCAGTCTTATCTTTATTATTATTACTATTACTTCAGTTATGTCTTTGCTAAACTAGGTTGTTGTTTTTGGTAATGTGTTACAAATACAGAAAATAAGGTGGAATGATTAAAAAACAGTTACAAATTGAAATACAAGTGAATGTATATGAAAAGTGGCAGACTCCTAGAGTTCATCAGTCTGGATGCTCATGAGGCCAGAAGTATAGATATTTTAAAGACAAAATCTGTTTAGTCTGGTTTTCTTTCTTTTTTTTTTTTTTTTTTTAATTTAGGAAAATGAACAGTTTCCTAGGAGTTACAAAGAAAAAGAAGCCTTCAGACAACTGATCCGGCAAGGTAAATATATGTCCTAGAATACACTTACTCATAGTGGCAGAAATGCATAAGGCAGTATGTGGGAAATAATCAGAAATTCTGTCAGGGTTAAGTTATTAAAATTCTGATGGCGTATGCAAAATGACTCATCCACTAAATTATTGTTTTATACAGGTGGGTCTTAAGATTCCAGACTTGCTTATAAATTCAGTTTGGCAGTGTTTCATACTGCTTGCTTTTTAAGATCAAGAGTATGTTTTCATTTGGGTGGGTAGGCATTAAGAGCAAACCTTGTGGAAAATGTTGATGTTTAACATGGAAAATGTGATAGAGAAGAAAGCAGATGGCTTTTGACTGCAAGTAGGTGGTTGGTCTGTTGACCCAACAAGACGTGCTGATCGTTGCATCTCAAAATGACCGGTTCAGAGGGAGAGAAAGATGGTGTAGCTATTGAAATAGGCTGTAATCAGTATGTGAACAGACTTAATTTTTGCAGACGCTTCAATCTAATACCTTTTGTGCATGCTAAAATTATTGAGGCATTTTTAAGATCTAGAAATACATTCTCTTGAAATGACCGTAGAATAAAAACATGAACTGAAATTTTGGTATTTGCTCTCTTAATGCTGGCCTGTGTACAAATTGCCAAGTAATTCATCTCCAGGTTGGACTAGGGAACTCACCCGAACTGTAGTAATTACCTCTGGTTAGATTAGGTTTTTAGTGGAGTCTATTTCTTGGTCTGGCTTGCTGTGTGTTTTCATATGTGTTTGCCAAAATTGAGCAAAAAACCCCAACAAAACACAAGTGGGAATGGGAAAGAAACTTGAATTGTCTCTTTACCATCATCTGTGCTAATTTAGTGATTATTAAGCTTTTTCTCATGCAAACTGGTATTTTTGTGGTAAGTAACTTCTATTTTACATCACAGGAAAATTAATCATATGCAGAATGTACATGTAGGTAGTTTTATCAGTACATCTTATTGGTAATTCAGTTCTTTGCTGATTAGCTGTTATGCCACAAATACATTCAAAGCCAGTCTGCTGTGTTGGTAAGACCTAAAGAAGGTGTTAAAGTCAGGGTATTATGTATTTTTAATTATATCTTTTTCAATAAGGTATCTTAAAGAATGAAAATGGGGTCCCAGAAGATGAGGAAAACTTTGAAGAAGCTATAAAAAATGTGAACACAGCATTAAATACTACAGAGGTAACATATGATAAAATCTTAACTGCTTTGTGTTTTTTCAAGACATACTATGCACGTATAGGGCAGGAATTCCATTTGCAACATTTGTATTTAGGTAAAACAGGATTAGTGCAATTTTTAGAGTTGAAATAATGTAAACCAGCCCTAGACTAGGTGGCACTGTAGTTTATGGAAATTCTTCTGTTTCCTTGCTCATGCAAGGAATCTACGTTTCCTTCCTGAAGGCTTGAATTCAAGTATAGAATGAGTCAATAATCAGAGTCCATTGCTATTGTGTTCCTGTTGTAGACTTTTACAGCTTACTTCTTAAAAGATTGGTGAAGTGCTTGGTACAATTGTGAAGAATTACCAGTCACTGGTGTGGGTGATGTCTGATGTAAATACATGGCTAGGAAAGAGACTCAGAAAGCATTTGTTGAAATTGTGCTATATTGAAGCAGGTTGCTATAGTATTTACCCTGTAGAAATGAAGAGCTTTAAGGGACGTCTGACTCAACAAACTCAGTAGCTTCCTCTTGAAGAAACATGAAATTCCTTCCTAAACTGATCAAGCTTAGAAACATTAAAAGTTAAGTCGTCATTGTTTTTCATTAATCCTGAAGTAGTAACTCATGGTTTCTTTTTTTTTTAATTCTTCATAGATTCCAGAAGGCATTGAAGAGATTTTTAATGATGATCGTTGTATCAAACTCACAGAGCAGGTAATGAGTACCTAAGGGTAAAGGGTAGGACTTAAATATAGACAAAGCATCATAAGTAACATCTCTGTACTTGATTGTCTCTTGCGCATTTGCAGTCACCTTCCTTCTGGATATTGGCTCGAGCTGTAAAGGAATTTGTGGCAAATGAGGGGCAAGGAAGCTTGCCTGTTCGAGGCAGTATTCCTGATATGATAGCAGACTCCAGTAAATTTATTGAATTGCAAAATGTGTAAGTATACCATTTTCTCTTTAATAGTTACTAGTGATTTTAAATGGTGATGACTTCAGACCTCACAAAATGTGTGAATTCCTGTATTTAAAATAAGAATGTGTGTGGGCCTGGGATGAGGAAGGGTCTGGGAAGCATGACAGCCTGAAACTGTGCTCCCTGTATAGATTGTCTGCTGTTTGGAACCAGGACAAAAGCCTTCAGTGTATCCTTATTTCCTAAGATTGTATAGTAAATGACCAGTTCCCTTACTTACAGATCTAGTAAAGACCTTGCTATAGGTGGTAGATACCATAGCCCAGCTACTGCTGTCCAAAGCAAACTGTTGCTTAAACACAGTCTGTTTTTTGTCTTCAGTGTGTATGTTTACTTGGCTGCAGAAATTCTATTTTCCTTGTGTCGTGGTTTAACCCAACCAGACAGCTTGTTACCCACTCCCCCCCCCTTTCTTGCCCTCCCCTTACTCCTGGAGGGACGGAGAGAAGAATCAGAAAGAATGCAACTCCCACGGGTTGAGATAAGAACAGTTTAGTAACTAAGGTATAACACAAATCACTACTGCTACCACCAATAATAGTAATGATAAAGGAAATAACAAGGGAAGAGAATACAACACCCCATCACCAGGCGACCGATAACTTGCCCCCCCCAGCCCGACCAAGCACCGACCGATACCTCCTCCAACCCTGCAGTCCACCTAGCCCTTCCGGCTAACTCCCAGTTACGTCCTGGGCATGACGTGCTGTGGTATGGAATACCTCTTTGGTCAGTTTGGGTCAGGTGTCCTGTCTCTGCTTCCTCCCGGCTCCCCTCCTCCCTGGCAGAGCATGAGGCCCACAAAGTCCTTGGCCAAACCAAAACATCATTGTTTTTCAGCTCTGTTCCCAGCTGAAAGTCAAAACACAGCACTGCACCAGCTACCAAGAAAGACAAAAATGACTGCTACTGCTGAACCCAGGACATTATCCACCCCTTATTCCATACCATTCACGTCATGCTCAGATCCCACATTTTCAATATACCATCACTCTTATCTAAGTGCACTCTCATCGTAGTGCATGGACCAGTCCCTATAAAGCTGCTGAGTCCATCTGGTCCATGATGCCAGGCTCCATCTCTTGTAACAGTCTTTCAGAGCAGGAGAGGCTGTGTGCGGTGTTCACACACATGAATAACCTGGGCAGTAGTGTCCATTGTTAGGTCCACCCCTCGATCATGAGTCCATCTCTATGTTGCATCTCTGCTCTGTTGGCCTTAAGGGTCATGGGCCCACCAGGCTCAAAATAATTCATTGTCCTTCCATCTCCAATGTTTCCAAAGCACTGGAGGGGCCCAGTGGACTAGATACTTGCCCATACTGTCCCTCATGCCCTGCCACTCATGGCTGTCCAGCCTTGGGGAAAACCTCTTGGTCCTCCCATATTGTTGTCTAACCCCAGACAAGACCCAAACCTGACTCTGCTTAAATTTTGGGATCAGACACAATGGTGGTGGGTAAAACACACTCTGCGTATGTGCCAACATAGTGAACACCATCACAATCAGCAGGCAGGTCCCAAGGATACCCAAAGGCCATTCAAAACCTTCAGAACTCTCAAACAATGCTGCTGTACTTGTCACTGGGGCTGGTGCAGCTGCTGTGCTCGCCGGCTCTTCCACCACCAGCTTCCCTTTTCCTGAGTCCAGCTCTTCCTTCTCTGCCTTGCTGGGAAATGCTGCGGGGTCTCCTGCGTGCTCCTGGGGCTCGGCGGGCGGCTTCCGGGGAATGCTCTCGGCCGTCGCGGGGCTGGGCTCGGCCGCGGGGCTCGGCTCCTCTGCGGTGCTCGGCAGCCGCCTCCTCCCACTCCTCGACCGCCCTGACCTCCTGCACCGGCAGCCGTCCCCTTGCGGCCTCCGGTCCCGCTCCCGCTTGGGCCCCGGGGCCGCTCTCCCAGGGCCGCCCCCCCTCGGCTTCCCAGAGCCTCACGCAGACGGAGGTGAGGGCGAGGGCCAGGACGGTGAGGAGCAGCCGGACGGCCAGGTACCAGTCCACGGCCACGTCCGTCCTGCCCTGCTGCTGGAGCCCGCCCGTATTACAAGTTATTGCCATAAAGTACAGTGAGACAAGAACCTTAGCCCAAGCCCCACACTTGATAAACACTAACACAGCAAATACCGGCTCTAAGTAAGTTACAACATTCTGAAGCTCTGAGATCCAATAAATCATCATTGTGATGGTCAGATCTGTCGTTATCTCAACCCCTCGTGCCCCACGTTGGGCGCCAAAAAGAACTGTCGTGGTTTAACCCACAGCCAGACAGCTTGTTACCCACTCCCCCCCTTCTTGCCCTCCCCCTACTCCTGGAGGGACGGAGAGGAGAATCAAAAAGAAATGCAACTCCCACGGGTTGAGATAAGAACAGTTTAGTAACTAAGGTATAACACAAATCACTACTGCTACCACCAATAATAGTAATGATAAAGGAAATAACAAGGGAAGAAAATACAACACCCCATCACCAGGCGACTGATAACTCGCCCACCCCCAGCCCCACCAAGCACCGACCCATACCTCCTCCAACCCTGCAGTCCACTCAGCCCTTCCGGCTAACCCCCAGTTACGTCCTGGGCATGACGTGCTGTGGTATGGAATACCTCTTTGGTCAGTTTGGGTCAGGTGTCCTGTCTCTGCTTCCTCCCGGCTCCCCTCCTCCCTGGCAGAGCATGAGGCCCACAAAGTCCTTGGCCAAACCAAAACATCATTGTTTTTCAGCTCTGTTCCCAGCTGAAAGTCAAAACACAGCACTGCACCAGCTACCAAGAAAGACAAAAATGACTGCTACTGCTGAACCCAGGACACCTTGATACTTAATTCTAAATACTAATGAATGCCCTTTCAAGGGACTGCCAGGTAGATCAGGAAGGGCAAAGACTTCGTGGAGGAACATTAACTACAAATTCTAAACAGCATCAGTGTAGATCAGTATTTTAGGAAGGTCATCTTCGAACACAGGTATCCGCAACATGAATTTAGGATTCCTGTGCATCCTGGACATGATGCAAATAGTTGGGCCCAAAAGTCTTTTTTACAGTATTACCAGATTTTCGTGGCAGCTTTTTTCCTCCTTTCTTTTTTTTAATCTCTAAAATGAAGCAGTATCGTGCAGAAGACTTAAATTTACTGTCTGTGCAGTTGTGCTGTTGAATTATTAAGACTTCTTTATTATTAACAGATACCGTGAAAAAGCAAAGAAGGATATTGCTGCTGTGAGTAACCATGCTGCTAAATTGCTACAGTCCCTAGGCAAGGTAATTACAGATGTGTGGCTGTTCACACAAGATACAAATATTTTTTCCCTGGCATTCTGTAGAGAAATAAGTCACAGGAGACAGAGCTGAGAAGGCTAAATTACAACATTCTCTTTAAAAGGCTTAAGTAAATTGTAATGAGATTTAGTATTTGTGGTCTGTTTTCCCACTTTTGGTTTGGTCATGTAAAAGGCATACAGTGATAGATTATTTACAATGTAAAAAGTACTTTTTTTACAATTTAGTTATTTCACAATAAACATATTAGTAACTTCGAAAATATAAATTCTCTGGTCATTGTATGTACTACAATTAAGGGTATGCTCTCTTTTAGGCACCTGAATCCATTTCAGAGAGAGAATTAAAATTGCTTTGTGAGTATACTTGGATTCTGTTGCTGCATTTATGCAAATGATAAAATAATTAAAAAATTTTGAATGATCCTGTAGTTATTAATCAGTAATTCAATATCTGAATTTTTCAAATAAGTTCTTAGCACTAGCATCCGTCATCTTGAATGGAAGTAGCAAATGTTCAGCACCTGTCAGGGACTTTATGTTGTCGCGATGCGGAGGGAACACAGCACAACCAATATGATTGATCAAAGTGATCTGTTTATTCTGCTTAAGCCTGGGGTTTATATAGAGCTAGGCTGTTATTCACACATATTCTTGGGAAACTTCTGTGGTTTTATTATTTACAGGCACATCCCATTTTCTAACCTCCTTATTCCTCCGTTCAAGATACTCGTTAACTATAAGGTCAGTTTACCCCCCTGCACAGCTGGTGTTTTTTTACCGAGCTGGGTTTCTTACTGACTTTTACAAAACTTGTCCCTGGCCAAGTTCAGCCATGGGAACGTAACCCTTGCCTGCCAACCACGCTTCCACAAGCACCTTTCAGTAGTGAGTCTATAAAGGTTAGCTTTTAATTATAATTTTTCAGGTCTAAGCAACAGGTAGCAGATATCCTCTACTTTCTGTGATTAGTACCTAATCACTTTTGCCTATTCTGTGTTACTGACTTTGGAGTGTGGGCCTTGTAAAGTGGTAGTCTGAAAAGGTAAAACAGTGATGCAGTGAGTATTACTGTTGGTGGCATTTTAGGTTATGTCTGTTCTGAATGTGTGTACATGTCTGAAGTGCAGCCTGGCTAAGTCTACTTGCAACTGGAAAACTTCTCTATAAGCATATAGAGAAGAGCATGTTGCCCCTGTGTTCATAGATCATTTGCTGGGGGTCTGAGAACCTTGCAGTTTGTCTTTTTTGAGTGGTAAGGCAGTAGCTGCGCTTCAGGTTGTTTCATAGCCATGACACTGGAGAAGAGCGTTTTCCCGCTCATAGCTGTGCTGTTAGAATATTGAGAGTATGGGAGGCAGCAGTAGGTATTTCAGGAGATTAAAAGAACCCATATTCAGTTACAGCATGGAAGGGGAAAACGTGAAGTTGCTGGCTGTGGCTTATGAATTGCTGTAGAAGAGCTACGCACTTTGTGAGCTGTTACATTAATGTGGCAGATATGTGTAGATCCTAGACATAAATAAGCACAATGTATTTCACTACCATATCTGTGATCATAGACCTAAATGTAGCTTAATAGATTTTATTATTGCAAGCTGCTGGAAGAAACAGAAAAGTGTTCAATAGAATTATCATGAGTTTGCCTTTCATGTTTAGGACATCAGAGATACAGACTTAAAAAGGTTTAGTAATTGGTGATGCTTTCAAGTGGGTAAAATTCTCCTTTCCGCACTCTACTTAGGCAGCAATGCCGCTTTCCTCCGGGTAGTGCGGTGTAGATCTCTGGCTGAGGAATACAGCTTAAACACTTTTAATAAGGATGAAATCAGTAAGTACGCCTTTTTGGTTCATACTTTTAATTGAATTTTCAAGTTGAAATGCTTTTGTGATCAGAAAGAATTGTATGTTGAACATTCTATTTCATCATGCAGTTTCAGAACTTGGCTTCAACTAGAAGTATGGGGTTTTTAAGTCTAGCGTGTTGAATTCAGTTTGATTTTTAAAGACTTTATTCTTGATAGAATATAAGTAAAACATTGTTTTCTGCAAGCTTTTCTGTACCTCAGTTATTTCTGACAGAGCTGTAAAGGTGCTTTGACCTGACTGAAGATATGAGAATAATTCTCTTGCCCACTCTCAGCTTACCTTTTTCAGTATGTGAACCAGCAAACTAGTTACTTAGTACTACATTTTATTTTTTAACCTTCATAAATTAATAAATGATACTAATAAAGCTGGAAACACTTTTAATCAAAAGTTTAAATTAAGCATATATAAGTTCCCTGAATGTTTTGGACAAAATGCATATGCAGAGTGTATACATTTTGTGCTTACATGCATTTTAGAATGTTTATAATTTAAAGTGAAAGCTCCTTGAATAAGTTGCTAATATGCAATGTGGTTTGAGTAGTAGTTACTGTTCAGAAAGACTTCTGAGCTGTATGTATGTTAAGGGAATTAAGACCTCCTTTATAGTTACAGTCATTACAGTTAAATGTATGAAACATGCGTTTCAAATCCCAAAATTATGACTAAGCATTATCCTGTTTAATCTTACAGCAGCTGTCAGAGTTGAAACATGACTGTCTTCACAGAACAGTATATCAGATACACACAGTATGGTTTGTCCTACGCTATGGAGTCAAAATCATCGTGTATCAGAGTTGACATACTGAAATTCTTAGTTGCAGGGTTTTTTTTGTCGTTGCAACTTCATTTTAGTGTGGATATTACAGTTTAAGTACATGGGAAATACTTGATTTAAAGTAATTAAAATAGTTTTCTTTCTCCCCCTACATTTCGTCTGTACCAGCTAATCCATTCTCTTGCTGTTTTCAGTTTCCCACATGGATAACCCAGACAGTGAAATAGTTCTGTACTTGATGCTGCGAGCTGTAGATAGATTTTATAAGCAGTATGGCAGATACCCAGGTATGTAAATACCAGAGTTACTTAACATCATCAAAAGAAATATAAACATCAGTTACTGTAATACTAGTTATAAACTATATTATTAGCTGAGGGTTTGTTTACATGTTAATGTAACTTTAAGAATGTGAAAATTAAAGTGAGAATTTTGTGTCTTTGGGAATTTAGAGGATGTATCTCAATTGATACTACTGAAATGGGTTGCATGGATTATGAATTGATTCAGCTGTGTAGTGATTTGTCATTATGGGTCACATCAACAGAATATTCAATTATTATTAGTCTCAATATATTAATTGGCTAAAAAACTTTTCAGAAAAATACTATGGTGCCATTTAAATTCATTAACTTTGAATATGGCATTGCAATTGTATGATGAAGCAGTTAACTTATTTTCTAGGTGTCTGCAACGATCGGATAGAAGATGATACTGGAAAGCTGAAATCATGCCTTGCTGGTTTCTTGCAAGAACATGGGCTGTCTGTAGTGGTGAAAGATGACTATTTTCAAGAGTTGTAAGTAGTCTATCTGAAGTGTCACTTTGTTGGTAAAACTGACCCCAAAATACTAACTGTTACTTTGCTATCCAGTTGTCGCTATGGAGCTGCTGAGCCACATGTTATTGCTGCCCTTGTGGGAGGTAAGAATGCCATGATATTTCTAAGGTACATAACAAACAAACCAGTCTGTTGCAGTACATGCTTGAGTCCAAATCTTCACTGTTTTAATTACTTTGTAACTGTTGTAATCATAGACTGTTGTCATGATAGCATTACAACAAAATCCTCCCATTAGGTTCTCAGGATGTGACCTCCTTTGATATACAGAAAAAGTGGAAACGGTGAGGGTTTAAATTCAGCAAAATAAACCAAATAAATAATCTTAGTATATCAATTCTAGTAACTTAAAATTGTCTTTAAAAATAAAATGTTTGAAAAAGCCTTTGAGTTAATACTACTACAATTATTACTTTAAAACAGTACAAATTTTTCTTTTAACATAATACACTTACTTAAGTGTCTGTTAAATGTAAATAGACTTGGTTGCTTACCTGCAGGTATTATCAAAACAAAATGTTTTGAATTCATGCTCAAAATTGATGTATCTTAGCTTCTTTATTTCATCTCATGTGGTGCTGGAGATAATTATATGTTAAATACTCAGTGGATGTAGGTAGGAACATTCTGATGAATTGAACTTGGTATTTGCAGTGCTTTAGAAACATGTAAAGATAACTTCTGAAGAAATGGCAGAGTACTTCATGCTACAGGAGAACACAGATCACAATTTATTTTACAGTTTAACTGTACATGGTTTTTTAATTGAACCTCTTAATTTGATGTAGCAAGGTCACAACTTGCATAGGTCTCACACATTTTTACTCTGTGTGTGTGCACATGGAGAGAAAGTATATACAGCAAAGTATATGTAAAGCTGACTTATGAAGGAAGTTGTCTGAGCCTCTTCTATATTGGAAGTACTGAATGGCATTCCCCCTCCCCCCCTCCCCCCTGGAGTTGTGTCAGGTGCTGCTGAAATAATTCAGTGTAACGAGTTGTAGATAAATAACATTATTTTACTGGCTTTTAAATGTAAAGCACTAACCACCTTTTGTTTTATCTGTTTTTCTTAGTTTTCCTTTCTTTTGCTTCTTTTACAGGAGCTGCTGCACAGGAGGTTATCAAAGTCATTACAGGGCAGTTTGTAATTTTTAATAACACTTACATTTACAGTGGTATGTCACAGACTTCAGCGACTTTCCAGCTGTAAGATAAGGCTCCTTCACTCCTTGCCACGAAGCAATGCTGCTGCAATGTTCTGTAAATACTGTGGTGTACTGTTCCATATTACCCACCAATCAAAGGTCCTTTATTTGTAACAATTTTCCCCATACACCCACCCACAGCCCCTCCTGGTGACAAAAAAAAATCGTACCAAAACCTAATTCAATAATGAGTTTTTTTTAAATCTGAAATTTTCAGATCCTTTGAAAGAAAACAGCAGCAGCTGTTCTGTTATGGTACATGGATTTACAAATTGGCTGACCTGATTTGCAGAGCTGATTTTTACAGGTTAATTTTCTTCTTGTAAAAGCTGTTCTTCAGGTTGAAGGGGGAGGACTCCCAAAAGGTTGAAAAAGGCCACTGTAACCATTATAGAGTGAGGATCCAGCTGTGAGAAGAGCTAGGGAAAGCTGCACTGATGCGCGGATTGACTCCACAACTCGTTAAAGTTGTAAAGTAGGTATGCTTTTTATTCAGCGCTGAGATGCACGGGGATAATTCCTCAAAGTCATGCGTACCTCAGTGTTGTTTCCCTCTACATTTATAAGGTTGCACCATACGCCTATACATATTCATGTCCTATCCCCACTTCGTATTACAGTGAGCTAGAAGGTCCTTTGCACCTGCGCAGTGCTCCCTCTGGTCATGGGCAGGGGTCTCAAGATGAAGTAAATGAGCCTTCCTCCTGTGGGTAGGGGTCTTCAAGATGAAGTAAATGAGTCTTCCTCTTCTTGAACTTTTCATCTTTTATTCTTCACATATGGCCTTAGGGTTTGGTCCCAGCCATCAACCATCTGCTTCTCCCCCTTAACAGTAGATTCAGGGGTCTGCTTTTCCGTATCAATAGGTGCTTATCAGTAGAATCAGGTGTCTGCTTTTCCTTGTCAATAGAACCAGGTGTCTGCTTTTCCTTATCAATAGCTAGTGCTTTTGTTCTGCTTAGTAGGCATGATAGGTACAGACAATACCTTTGCTTAAGGAATCGAATTCCTCCAACCCCCCTGTACAACCCCCCCTGTACATTGGTCAACCCTCTGCATCAATCCCCCCTTTTTCTGTAAAGTGAGTAAATTCTTTTACTCTATTATTTATGACAAAGCTATCCATGTTCCTTCTATCGATTTATGAAGTGATTTCAATACGCATTGTATTATGCAAGGTACAGTCATTAAAATGAGTAATCCTATAGCTAAGATTAGAAGGCCTTGTTTAAGTATTTCCCTGAACCATCCAGTAACTCCTAGGTTATTTAGCCATTCATCCAATCTGTCTCCAACAATTCTAAGCTCTTGCATATCTTCCTGCGATTTTCACAGCTTAGCATGAATTGATTCAGAATGGTCAGATAAATTTACGGAGCACATACCTTCGAAATCCTCACAACCACCCTGTAACAATATCTTTGTTACCTCCCTGGCTTGTGCGCTTCTAGTTGGAAAGGCTTCTGGCCAACCTGAAAAGGTGTCTATTAGTACCAACAAATGTCTATACCCCTTTTTCTGTCGTTTTGAAAATTCTGTTGCAACATGTTATATACTGCTATTACCATCCAGAGTCTTTTTGAAATAGTTTCCTGTTTCTACTTGATATGTACATTTCATTTATTTTTCAATCTTCATAATTTATCATAGATCATTTTATAATTCCAGGAAGAAAATTTTCTTATACCAGAAGTAATCAGTATTAAAACAATTAACATTAATATTCCTGCAACCAGTTGCCTTAACCAGGAGAGATCAGGTAACCATGAAGGTAACTTCTTCAAACCTCAGGAGGTATCATCCTTGGCCATTTTATTAAATATTTTTGTTTGTTTCCATAATCATACATCCAAAGTCTGAATCATCCAGTCACTCCCAGGAACATACGGAGCTTCTTGATGGTTGTTGACAAATGGCTTCTCTTCTAGCAGTTCGAAGTTCTCTCTGGCCTCCTGTTATTTCATATCCTAGGTAGGAAACTCGGGTTTGGATTAGTTGGGTCTTTGTCTGGTTACCCAATAACCATTCAGTCCCAGAAAATTCAATAATCCCACCGTTCACTGAACACATTCTTCCCTTGTTTCAGTAGCAACTGATAGGTCATCCACATATTGTAACAGAGTCCCCGTCTGAGTGGGTGATTTCCATGATTCTAGTTCCAGCGCTGATTTTGAAAGGACTGTTTTAAAACCCTTGAGATAATACTGTCCAAGTTAATTGGGTTTTCCTTACTGTGTCAGGATTTTCCCATTCAAAAGCAAATAAATTCTGGTTTTCTTTGGCCAGTGGTAAGCAAGAGTCCTTAAATCCAAGACGGCAAATCATTTCTGATTCGATTTAGTCAATAAGGAAAATGGATTAGCTATTACTGGATAAATATCCTCTATAAATTTGTTGATTCCTGAGATCTTGAACCAATCTGCAACTTTATTTCTTTACTGACAAGATAGGAGTATTATATTCCAATTCACATTCAATTAATAAATGCGGGTTGTGGTGGTTTTTTTTGTTTGTTGTTTTTTTTTTTTTAATTCCCTTTCCTGCAATTTTAGGGGATATTGTTTTATTCTAATTGGGCAGGTCCCCCTTTTTATTTCTACTTTGACAGGCAAAGCATTTTTCGCCTTACCTGGAACTTCAGATGCACATACTCCCACATATACCTGTTTAAGGATTTCTTCTATTTCAGGGAGGTCCTCCTGTTTGCTTTTTCTGTTGAATTAAAGATATACTCAAAACTGCAATTAATTGATTTTTAACTCTTAATTCCATTTTGCCTTCTTTAAATGTTGCTTCTTGCCCTAATGAAGATTTCGGAGAATTCAGCATGCATAAAAAATTTTATGCATTCCTATTTGTTATCCCAATGTGTACCTTAAGGGTTGCATCGTTTTGCACTTTTTTTTTTTCCTTGGTGGCCAGTAGCTCCCCCATCTGTAACAAATTCTTTTCCCTCTGATTTAACGCCGAATAAGTTGCTCCTGTAGCCACCTAAATTCCACTTTATTTCCTCTAGTCCATAGATTTAATGTAACCAGTGGATCTGCTAGGGTAGATTCCCCAGGTCCCTTGTCAGCCTAGTTCCAATTCAGCCACCGGAGCCACCCCATGGCGCTCCCTACCCCGCAGGGCAGTCTCACTTCCAACGTTCAAAACTCCCCACAGCACACACACACCGATCCGGTTCCACAGGGGAAGAATCCACTTCCCCCACCTTTGCCCGACATTCCTCCTCCATCAGTTTCAAAGCACTTCTGTCCACATTTATTCAACAACCCCTCAGTCCCGTCTGTCAACATGTCTGTTCCCACTTGTTTGTCCGCCCCAGCACCCATCCCGTGCTCAAACACAGGAGCTGCGCGAGCTCCCCTCCTTTCCACTTGGTTTCCCCCCCGTTTTTTTCCTCACAGTTGCTCCCCCTGCTCTGCAGAGGTTTCAGACCCTGCCGCTGCAACAGCACTTCTGGTTTAATGTGAATGCGCTGCTTGTTGCAGGTGACAGCAATCTCCTCCTCATCAATATCTGACAGGACAGATACAGAGGGTGCTCCTCTCGGAGGTGATACATAATTTTCCTGTTTGTAACTTTTAAACATCATTCCCCAATATCACAGGCCGAACAACATCTCTCCAGCTTAGCTTTCAGTTTTTCCTTGTCCTTTTCCAAAGCCAGAATTAGGGATCTGGCAGAGCTATATTAATTTCACATTCTGCCTGCCACTCTGGGTGGTTTCTTAAAGTGAAAAACGTATCTGTATATCGTACTGAATCCCATTTTCCTGGCCACCTCAAAACCAACATTCATTGTAACAATGCATTATAATTCAGAGTTCCATTTTTAGGCCATTTCTCCTGATCTTCCGAAGTATATAAAGGCCACCATTGGTTACAATATTTCATCAATGTTTTCTTGTTTACCGAGCCCCCAGAAGACCCTCCCAGTTCTTTCCAATGTGCCAAAATGTAACCCAATGGGCTTTTCTTCAGAATCCCCTTGTTTTAACCGGCTCCCATTTCAAACAATCTTTTACAAATCTCTATAGCTTCTTTCCCAGTGCTCTGCAAATGCACTTAAAAAATATGAGAGCACCTACACAGGAGTGTTATGATATTCTCAGGGGGTTCAGTAAAATAATATCTCTGGGTTCTGAAGATCAACTCCCCTGTTGTTGGATCATAGTTTCGGTTCCAACAAAATTTACACCGTCCTAGTATCCACGGCAGGTTCCACTGTTCAAAAGTTATTATGCACGCATATGTGAGGCTACAAGCCTCTGGTACTGAGTGTGAAGTCCAAGTCTCAAGAGTAGGACTACAGACATTATATTTCTGTTATACAGCCACCGGGGCGCAGAGGGAACTCTACTTAACACACACACCCCCCCCGCCCCCCAATAGCAGCAGTTTACTTTTGTCTACTGCTCCCCCACCGCTTTAACACTAACGACAGACTAATCTTTAACACTAACGACAGACATATACGCACAAAGCACAAAACAAAGACGTTTCGTCAGTCTCCGGCCGCTCTCCTCACGGAGAACACGGAACCGCAGATCAGGACTCCACACTCGCTTCGTAGCTATGCTAGGTCTCAGTCACACAGAAACACAAACACACACATGGGATCCCACACACCCACACTATAGTTCCTCTTACTCTTCTCCTGCTTCTTAAGGCAGCAGGTCTGTCCTGCTTCCCAAAACTTGGGATGCAGCGAAAACCCAGACTCACCCGACCCACCTCCAGGGTCGCTAGCGGCCGCTTATCGGTCAGCGAGCTCCCTGCTTGCAAGCCCTACCTGCCAAGGGGAACTTCGCTGTGCGCCAGACGTCTCTGCGCGCCTTACCGGCAGCCCCGGGCCACGCGTACGCCTTACAGGCCCCCTAAATTACCTCAATTCCAAGCACACCGTTTCTCCGCAGCCGGCACAGGTTGTTGTCTGTCCCTGCAGTGAGCGGACGAGAAGCGGAGCTCCTCTAGGCAAGCGGCCTGGGGCGCCTAGGACGTCCGCCCCTCAGCCGATCCTGCAGCCGAACAGAGGCCTCCTGCCTGGCTCGCCAAATTGATGCG